TAAACAAGATGTGCATATAGTTATATAGAAAGGTGAGTTATATAAAGGGAGTCGTTATAAACAAGAGATAACAAAGTTATAGAGAAGTGAGTTTTGGAGAGATAGTCTTTCTAATCAAGAGATACATACAGTTATTTAGACAGGCGAGTTAAAGAGAGATAGTCGGTTACAAGAGATGCATATAGTTACATGTATATAGACAGGCGAGTAATAGAGAGATAGTCGGTGTGAACAAGAGCTACATAAAGTTATATAGACAGGTGAGTTTTGGTGAGATAGTATTTATAATCAAGGGATACATAACGTTATATCGACAGGTGAGTTATACATAGGTAGTCGTGATAAACAAGAGATACATACAGTTATAATGACAGGTGAGTTGTAGACAGGTAGGTGTTACAACGAATTAACAAGAGATGCATTACGTTATATAGACAGGTGAGTTATACACAGGTAGTCGTTATAAACAAGAGGAACAGTTGGTAATATAGACAGGTGAGTTGTAGACAGGTAGGTGTTGCAGCGAATTAACAAGAGACACATAACGTTATATAGACAGGTGAGTTATACACAGGTAGTCGTTATAAACAAGAGAAACATTTGGTAATATAGACAGGTGAGTTGTAGACAGTTAGTTGTTACAATGCATAAACAAGAGATACATAAAGTTATATAGACAGATGAGTTATACACAGGTAGTCGTTATAAACAAGAGGAACATTTGGTTATATAGACAGGTGAGTTGTAGACAGGTAGTCATTACAATGTATAAACAAGAGATACATAAAGGTATATAGACAGGTTAGTTATGCACAGGTGGTCGTTATAAACAAGAGATACATAAAGTTATATAGACAGGTGGGTTATAGAGAGGTAGACGTTATTAGCAAGTTGTAATCTGAAGATACAGAAATATTTATGACCTATTAAGACCTATTTATGTTGGTTAAATAAAATATCGTGCTTCTTTTGATAACTCAGTCTCTCCTATTTATCAAAAGCATTTTATGCTTCTTCTTTCTTATTTTTTTCCTCGTCCTTTTCTCTTACCTAGTATATATATACTCATTTGCATGCTTTATTCATAGCTACCATATCGTATATATTTTATCACTTTGTAGTGTGTACAAGGTGTCAGATAAGTTGCGACAATGAGAGCCTAATGTTTGTGATTAAACCGTTGGCAAAGTCCTGGAAAGAAACCAATTAATCTGCAGGATGTGAAGGACGTTTTAATCATATCATGCAAGACAACTGGCAATTATGACATGATTACAGCGGTGAAAATTCATCAACATAGACCGACGCGTCACTCCAGGTAGGAATCCCTAGCTAGATTCGGATTATGGATTTCTGCCGGTTCTGCGATACTTTGAAAACATTTTTTGCATTTTAATTTGTTTCAGGCGATGCAGCAACAAAACCTACGTAAGACATGGTCATTATCATTTAAATCGCTCCATATCGTTACATTATATATAATTTGACAGTTTACTGAGTCTATGTTGAATGTTACTAAACTAAATTCACTTCCAAACATCTCCATTAAATGTCGTTGTAACTGTACTTGTTTTGTCGAACAGAATATGGTTTAAACTAAATTCACTTCCATTATTCCAACTCAAAAAATTGTACTATAGTATATTAGGAAGTATTGATTTTATTGTGTGACATTAGGATGGGTTCTCGGGTTATTCACTTGTTGTTTACTTGTAAGGACTGCAATCATACATCTAGGCCATTGATTTGACAATATACTAAGCTCAACTTTCCTAGTAGGGAAGTGTATTGCAATGACAACGGAACAGCATCCATGCATCTTAAATCAGGAAGGGCAAATTATTCCACCATATTAGAAATTCCATAGCGCCTTTCATTACATACATCTGTTAATAAATGCATTGTATCTGAATTTTCAACGCATCCTAAAAGAGTATACGAGAACACCTCTGCCTCTTTGTTATTGTTCTTCATCTGAATTAGTAAAACGTTCCACGCCATTAAGATTTATATCAATGTTGCTAATAATTACACTTCGAAAACAAACACCGTCAACCAACTAATGGATAATTTATACGTGTATATAACGCCGATCTTTAGGCCCTTGCTTTGAGGAGTTCATTTCTTAAAAAGGTGGCTCAACAACTGCCTTAAATACATCCTCATTTAAAAATGCACGGATGATATCGAAAGCAGAGAGGAAAAGTGGAAAAACTAGTCCAATATATGTACGTTTGGCAAAAACCGTGTTATTGTTTTTTACTAGTTTTATATTGTTCTATGTTTTTACGTAGAGCTTAAATCACAGAAAAGTCAAACAAAGCATTTGGTCTAAAAGTTTCATCAAGTCTTTGAAAAGTGGGAAGACTCATTTTTCTGAGGGGGGGGGGGGGGGTTTTTTTTTTTTTTNTGAATACCTTTTTTACACACACCCTGATTCGAAAAAACAAAAAACAAGGTAAGGGTTATTTTACATTCCATTTCCAACCTCCATGGCACGGATGTAGAGATACCAATTGACAGCTTTTATCACCATCTCTCTATGTAAATACTGTAGGTAAACCACCAACGGATAGGGCTCGGTTGCTGGACAGTGTCAGCAATCTTACCTATACTGTAAACTTACTTATCTAAGAGGTATTAATGTTTGTACTGCTGCATGGTGTACATCACTGAAGCGTGAATGATGCGGGTAACTTGGATGCTGTACGGGATATGTTAAAATATGAGTTTTAAGGACGTCAACGATACCTTCTAAAGACGATATTGATCAATCATTGACATGAACTCTAATCATAGAATCTGTTACAGACATGTGTACAATCTTACAATTGCATATTTGTCCTTATCAGTAACAGTTAATTGTTTTTTATCCTCAAAAATAAAATAATAAGGACAATTTTTTACTACTATTCCAACCACATAAAAAGATGGACTTGAACTATAATGTTTCTCTGTTTATTCACGACGCAGATGCGGACTTTGAAATATTCTAGACAGCTTCTGAAAACTATGAATCATCATCATTGTCGTAAAAAATTGGAATCATGATCTACATAAGATATAACATTAAAATTAAATAACGTCTTAGTTTGGTGTGTTTTTTTCGGATAAACTCAGATACTTTTTATCTTGTTGTCGAAAGGATTTGTTTAAATATATCCACATGATCTTTTGGTCACCAGTACTTTTGCTGAATTTAGTTGAAGGATATAAGCAGACATTTTGTATTCCATATGAGACAAACAGTGCACTCCGTCTATAATTCACTTTTTTCCGAATTCATGTAAGATCTAATTACTCTAGACTATATGTATAGTATTGTCTACATGTTGCCACCACTTCTACATTGTCTGTATCCGATTTTGGCTTTTAAGAATTTGAAGAATAGCAATATCGAAAACAGGTTTAACTGGCAACAATTCTAGGATATCGGTTTTCAAAAGTCACTTACTCGCACCAATTAAATCATCTGCGTTGTTGTTTTATTTGAATATGCATTCTTACAGGGGTTATTAAAGGATATAAGACAATTGACGAACCATTTAACTCGACAGAGAGATACATTAATATGAAACTTGTTTTTGAACATTAACAATCACAGTGTCCATCGTGATAAATACATTATTGTACTGTCCTGTATTTGACGGTGGGCATCATAACTAGTGTCACATTTGGCTTAGAAAACCTTTAAAAGATCTTGGTTTCGTCCCTGAATATTTTCTATATCTGAGTATTCACAATATCATTCTTTTTGTTTTGGTATCTCCAAACTTCTTACTGTTGTCTTTTTTTTTTTTATCAATTTTGAGTTCGTTCTTTGGATGTTTATTAAAGATTTTGTTCTTTTTAATTGATTCTAATTTGTTAAGTTATTTTAAATAAATAAATAAGAAGTTCCATTAATCTTGATGACACACGTTGAGGTTTTCCCCTTCCGTAACTGTGATTAACTGACTGTCTGCAAATGTGTAATCTGTTTACTATATTTTTCGTCATTAAGCAACAAATTACTGAGACATCCTTGCGAATCAACATTTACTCATTAGCTGCAGAATCCGCTTAACGGCGGATTCAGATTACCGAATATCGAAATCACATGAGTGTTTAAATTCTATCAAAGACTATGCATTTATTATAATGATTCATTTCAATGCGTAACATCAAAGATTAATATCAAGCAATGGAAAACCGTCCAATGTCACTAGTCTGTTGTTCCCAGTAACAGAAAGGTTCTCGGTTAAGTATATCCAAATCTTTCAGGAAACCATTGGATTTCCGGTCGAGCAAACCAAGCCCAACATTTGGCAAAACAGAGGTAATGAAATAAGTACCCCTGGACCACTCTCATTTTCAGAACTATTTCTAGTGAGGGATGTCCGGATCGATATCGACGAAAGAAGAACTCCTATTTAAGATCACCTACTCTGAGCAGCACGTTTAAGTGCATGAGCACTCAATCAAGTCCTGACAAATTAGGGATTTCCATTTCAGTACACATAGTGTACCTGTGACCAAATCGATCTCTGCATATAATTTGCGGTAAAATATAAACTTTTAGTAGATAACTGTATCTTATAAAATTACGTAGAACACATGGTGTTCTATAAAATGTTATATGACGTAATACACATGTTTTATCGTGAAATGTAAATTGACGTAGTACACAAGACGTGCAATGTATTATGATGTAATTCTCACATGACGTGAAGTATAAATGAAATATGACGGTACCAGATTTAAACTGTATCAGCTCAGTAGACAGAACTCTTCTTTCTTGGTTGGGCTCATCGATTGTGATTATGCAATTATGTAATGGTAACGTGAAGAGCCTCTGCTAAGGACATTATGCCATAAGGGAACACCATACATGCAATGCACAATCTGAAATGTCAGACGAACAAATATTTGTGGTATTTTCTATATTTCTCTAGAGAGTTGTATATAATGACGTTATGTGAGGTACCTGTAGATTTCAGAAAGATAAAACTATGTCCTACCTGTAATGTACGAGCGATCCGCTCCATTGCTGACACTTGTTCGGGCTCGTCATAGCTCTGCTGTTCGATCCGGATGATTTCAGAACAGGTATCATCATCTGTCCTGAGTGATAACTGGGGACTCAAGCCTCCATTTTCTAAAACTTCTACTTCGTCATCGAACGACTTGGAGTGATTCACCTTATCCGGTGGTTTACTTGTTGTTGGTGACGTCGCCATGACCACGCCCACTCCCTAGTTTTCATCTGTAAAATAATGAAAACATGAAACATTAGCCTTACTCAATTCAAGTCTATGCTTATGATATTGCAGGTCATGGCTTACAACAATTGAAATAACTGAGTTTAGTACACAGTGGAAAAATGATTATAGAAATTGTTGTATTTAATCTTTCCACCTTTATGTAACTTAAGTAGCCTCTTCCATTTATTGATCTGGATTTGTCAATTTTTTAACTGCAGTGAGGAGATAGTTAAACGTTTTTCTCGACATTAAGGGAACACGACAGTTTAAGCAAAGCATTTCTTCGCGATTGTTTGAAAAAAATAATGCAAACTTGTGGAAAACAATATCATATTCTCCGTGTACTCCTTAATTGTTTTCAGTGTAGGATTACTTATAAAGAATTTAAGAAAAAACATTCTATGAAATTTACCCAAAAGTAAATGTCACGTGATACGTATGACATGAGTGCGACTTGTTATAGATAAAAGTTCAATACCTATCTGTTTTTGATAAATGAATATGTGATATTTAGCGCTTTACAGGTTCATCGACTGGGTTAGGGTTAGGGACTGATTTCAATCATGTTGAGAAATATGAAATAACAATAGTAGTGTAGCATTTTTTTAACTTTAAATAACGTTAAGAGTCTTTGCAAAGAAGTTAAGAAATTTAGGTTTTATTCATAATGAGTAGACGCTCTAGTTCTTAACTCTTACAAAAGAAATATTGAGTGCTGGGGCTTCCACAATACAAGGTAGAATAAGTTATTTGTTTGAACCAATCAATCAATCCATCAAGTATGTATCAGAGCGGTTACTACACTTATTTATTACATTTTTGCCTGTGAAATATCGGATTCTATCAACTTGATAAAACTGATATCTTCACACTGTGAAAATATCACTTTTTGGTATTGACCAATCATAACGGTATCATTTATTCGCTGCATTCAAAGGCAACGATGTTTTTGTTCAGATTCAAATGAAACGAAGGTAGAATAAGTGGTTGTTATGGTAAATGTTTGGTACACACACTGAAGTATTTACATGAATATGCAATTAATAACATAAGTAATCACACTAGATAACAGCAGAAAACGTCGGAATTGCGTTGAGTATCCCATTCGCAAATGGCGCATATTCTTGTTGTTAAGTGTGACGTTATTGGAATATGGCGCTAATTATTAAGCTTCTGACTCCCGTCTTTTTTTTAAGCATTACATTTTTCAATTTTTATTCTTTAAAAAATGTAATAAATAGAACCAATCAATATATTGCTGCGCACTCGTGAAAAACATCAAAATATTAGCCACACTCGTGAAATATATTTGTTATTATTGAAGACACCAATAAATATCCTCTATATATTTCATACTCATATTTGTTTATGGACATATGATATAAGGTTGTGTTTCTATCTGCACCATAAAGACAGTATCACTTCCCCACACTTAATCACGCACAATGTAGAATCCGGCAGCCGAACATATTACTTCCAACCATATATTTTTATGCAGTCGAACCTTCATAAATCTGAAATATGGTCCTACGCGGAACATACAAAATCGGAAAACCCCATTAATTGTGGCAAAATTGATAACTTCAAGAACAAAATATGTTTCTTTGTTTTTTCTTGTTACGAGCTAATGAAGGTAACAAATTAGATAAGTGCTTATTATCTTCACCGTTATAATGATTATTTTACTTCCTGAACTTCATCTCATCCTGAGCAAGAAAACTGACATCTACATTGAAACAGTATCAATGTAGGTTAGTTTGCAAACCTCTCACAATCCGTGCAGAGACCACAAACCGCCCATACAATCAGTAGTTAGCCCGCACTTGCCACCTACATCCTGGCAACAATGACCGTTGTATTGTGTCTAGCGGAAACGGGATCGAATCTCCCGCGGGAGCTGTCATTTCTCGCGATTGAGTGGTCATGTTTTGTCGTTTGTGCGTGGTATGGGGACACAGGGGACTGTTTGGATAACAAATTCTCCCCGATTACTACAGCAGGCCGTATTTAGACGAGATGGCTACAGCTTTTCACGCCAACTTTGTTCTTTGTTCAGATACAGCTGTTGCTGGCGAGAGTGGTTAATAGATAGTATAGTTATTGATGTCACCCACTCGATACCATGCACATGGTGTCGGTAGTAAAGTAAATATCATCTCCATATATCCTCACTTGCTCATATTATTACTTCAGCAACAGTGAGGGGGATAATCGATACTATGATGAATTTATCTGCAGCCTTCAGATAATTAACAACATATTTCAAGGTTGAGAGAACAAAGCACAGACTGTGAAGCATTTGTCAATAATCTTAGCCACAGTCTTGGCCAGCACTATAGAGCGCTACAATGTACATGATTGGTGTTTATGAAGTGCAGTAGAATGCTGCATGAAGTGATCTGACAATAGAAAAAAGATTCAATTTTCTCCAACTTGGTTCCTAAGCATCGTCTTAGCACTGTGCATAGAAGAAAAATTTAGACAAGGCCAGAATAAACGATCTTTCATAGCATCACTCGTACTGGTTTAACTGAGAGTTGTTTCGGAAAGGAAATAAATACAAATGTCTTTTGTCAATCTAAAAGCACCTGCCCGTATATTGGTTACAGATGTCATGAATCAAACGGCTATATAAATAAGAGAAAGAAATCATCTATCATTTGTTACTTTCTCGACATTCTGGCAAATATTGCATGTAGTAGTATACTCTCAGCATTTACTTTGACTTTTTTGTTGTAGCATTAAGCACAGCAAAAATATAGGCTGTGCAAATGACTGGCAAAACACACCATTACCGAATCCCCAAAGTCATGAACACTATGAGATTATGTAGAAAAACGCAGTAACACTTTCTAAGACTAGTCTGTAAACACAGATCTGTTTAGAAAAACAAATGATAATATTGCCCTGTTCAGACCAACGAATGGTATTACTATTCCTTTTCAGACAAAACAATAATGATAACGCTCTGTTTAGACAAACAGAAGACAGTCATGACATGTTCAGGCAACAAAGACAGCTCTGGCATTCCAGACAACAAAGACAGCTCTGGCATTCCAGACAACAAAGACAGCTCTGGCATTCCAGACAACAAAGACAGTACTAACCTGTTCATACAAACAGGAAACAATACTGCCCTGTTCATACAAACAGGAAACAATACTGCCCTGTTCATACAAACAGGAGACCCTGTTCATACAAACAGGAGACAATACTGCCCTGTTCATACAAACAGGAGACAATACTGCCCTATTCATACAAACATGAGACAAAACTGTCTTCTACAGACAGACAAATGATAACACTGCCTTGTTCACACAAACAAATGATAATGGTGCCCAGTTCAGACAAACAAATGATAATACTGACTTGTTCTTCTACATGTTACTGTATAAAAAACAGTACTCCCCTGTTTAGGAAAAAATAAACAATATTGTCATATGCAAACACATACAATACAGTACTGCTCTCTCCGGACAAATACAAGACAATCCTGCCTGTTAAGACAATATAGTTCAGTCCTGTCCTGGTTAGACAAACGCGAGTAGTCTTTATCTAAATAAAAATGTATCCTAAGCTATTTTTTTTAAAAATATTCACTATGGCTTTTGGAATGATGATGGGCCGCTTATGAAGACTGTCATTTCTTGACATGTTACTGCATCAAGCTAAGTTACCTCACGTTATTTACCTAAAATTCTTGATTGTAAGAAACGTATTATTTTTAAAAATCTACCATTATTGTCTTAAACATATACACCGCTTTATTTTAATAAAACGTGTGTATGCGTTTCCGAGTACGAGTCACAAGTTGAGCTGCTTTGTTTCGAACGTTCCGACAGCTTGTCATTGCATCAGTGACATTAAACAAAAGGCCATTGCGTTAGTCAGAACAAGATAACTGATGGCCGTACTTGGGTATTTTAGGCATCAGTGGTGATTATGTGTCGAATACTTCCAACAAATCCAATCTGGTTATATCATTAATATGTAACTGCATAAATGCATAAAAGCATTTGTCTATGGTCTAAGAGCTGTCGAAGCACATTCCTTATTTCCTTGCAAATTGGAAAACATATGGAGTATTTGCACACACGTACAGCTAGATTTTATGTCGTTTTCATCATGTGCTCCCGAGTGAAGACAATGGGTCAGCTCATGTCTTTGTTTTATGTAAGCTTATTTGCATTCACCTCAAGCACTGACATCGGACAGACATACTTTCATTTGTTTTTAATATACATTGATGTTACGTTAGAGTGACAATGGATGTTACATGTATCTTTACGGTATGTCTCGCGAATCGGTTAGTAATATTGAAAAAAACGTGTTAGGTCCCAACAACCAACCCCGTAAAACCGGGAACTCTTTTTGTCATCGGAGTGATTCGTTACTATGACAACACTGTCTTTTATCTCTCAAGTACGCCTGGGTCTAGCAGAAAGCGTCACCAGTTACTCCATCAGCGTAATCATGACGATTGTACAATATGACGTTGTCGATTACGGCTGACAACTCGGTAGGACAAGCACCTCAAGACACACTTGTCATCCAAGGCTACTTGATATGTCGCACACTTAGAAGGAACCACGGATGTGTCGAGTACCCTGTTCAGTAAGCTGATCTCAGATTGTCATGAAATCTATATGTGTTGAGTTGTACGTCTAGACAGAATTGGGGATAGTAATGACAAGATTGAATATCGACAGTAGTATTTTCACGACTTACTTCTCCAACACAGGTATCTCCGAAATTCATCTGACATTGACCTTTTTGACCACAGTAGAACGGAAATGCCATTTTAGGCAGTGCTGCATAAGATAAGATTGAGTTGGACATGTCATCTGCATATCATAAATTTGATTTTGAGCCATTGATAATCTTGCGTTACTTATCCAGGTTGTTGCTACACGCAGTTGGATGTCATCATTTGATTTAAGTGATCATCGAAAATATATGTTTGTTTTTGGGTTCACCATAACTAAAGTTTTCACTAGTAATA